AGGCAATGCTAACAATTTCAGGCATGTTGGTGTATTTGCATATCTTATCCTGCTTTTCATTTTTGCTTTTTATAGTTTCTATCTATAGTTTTCAAGATAATAGGCAAAAACATGGTAAAAAAACATCTTTTAAGGCCAATAATTCTTAAAAGGAGTTGACTGATGATTTGGGCCATTATGACTTATTGTAGATACTGTTTTGCTGATCATTTTTACTATTAAATTCTCTATGATAGTTTTTACAAAAATGAATTTTTGGTAAAACTCGTCATTTAAGGGCAAAAACTGCTATTCAGAGTTGACCAACCATTTCTGCATTATCGACGTAATAGTGCCATTTTTAGTGGATATTGTTTCTGCTGCTTAATTTGGCTAAAACATGTTACTATCTATTTATGATAGTCTTCAACATAATTGGCAATAACACTTAAAATTGAAGAAAACAAATCGTCATTTAATGGTCATAACTCCTATAAAGAGTCAACTGAAAGTTTCGGCCATTTGACGTATTTGTAAATTTTGTCTTGCTGATTATTTTGGCTGAATAAAGTTTTGCTCTATCTTCTATAGTTTTTAAGATAAAAGGTAAAAATAAAAAAAACAAACTATAGTAAAATTCATCAGTTAAGGTCCATAATCCTGATAAGAACTCATCTGATGGTTTTGATGTAATTAGGGAGTATGAAGATCTCATCATTCTGAACATATGTGCCCCTGTTTGATTTTCTGTATCTATAGCAGTTTCAAGATAATAAACAAAATTTGCATTTTACCCCTATGTTCCATTTTGTGTCATGTCGGTCATGTTCGTTGGCAAGCGGTGTCGTCGGACAGAAATTTTAAACAAGATATCGCAAGGATGATTGTGGCTAAGTTTAGTTCTAATTGCCCAGTAGTTTCAGAGATTTTGTGTAAAAGTTAACGGACGACGGACGCCAGCTAATTGTGGGGGCAGGTGAGCTAATACGACTCAAGTGCACATGACAGCAATGACTCGATGGACTTAAACTACTAACACACTCCCCGTGCATGACATTCTACCCATATTCAGTACTGTAAGACCTGTCTATGAATATCTATCTATGTACCTTAAAACACAACACACATGTATCGATATATGTAACGCTTAAATACAATGTAGTAAGTACAGGGAATGATATTACTTATTTGAAAATATATTTATTGTTTGCTTACAAAACAATTAACAGTTATCAAAGTCAACAGATTTATGTATTTCGTTATCATATGATAAATTATAAATACTATTTTTAAGGAATATTTTTAATTATAAATTCCCCTTAATGTATTTATTAGACAATAAGTCATTATTTTTGTCTTTTATTTGTTAGTGTTACAGGTACGTTTCAAAGCACTTTAAATGCTACTTTAGATAGTAAAACAAACAACAATTTATTTACAGGAAGACATTAGACAGAGGCATTTCTTAAAAACCAATTCAATCAAAAAATAAACAATGAATTAATTTAAGGTAGAAAGCATCCAAAAATCTATTGGAATTATGGTAATAAATTAAAGAATCATAAACATTTCAGTGACATCGCAGAAAGAATAAGGATTGGTACTATCTTTTTAGACATAAATAAATATAGTTCTTTGTATATATGAAATGATCATATATTGGTGGTAGCTTTGAAAACAAGATTTACAATTATCTCAGGTTTACAAAGTTATAAGATGTCTTTTTGACATATGTGAAGACTGTAATGTAAGGATTAATTTCAATCATAAATATCCATTAATGTATTTTTTCAGACACTTAGAAGTCAATACCTTTTCTTTTCTTATTATTGTAAAAGTACAGTTATCTAAGTTGAAGAAATTTATGAGTTGCCTTTTCGATATTTCGTTATAACTTAATAAAGTACATTTGTAAAGACGATAATTTAGATGTGTTTTTTTTTCATCATAAATATCGTTGCTGTATTTTGTTTAGACACTTCGAAGTCGTTATTTTTCTTTTTTTTTTATTGATTCTGAGATCGTGTGTATATTTAAAGGTTCTTTAAACAATTCTCAATTCTGGAAAACATACATGTACAACAATTGATTTACAAGAAAGTTTAGACAAAGGTGATTCTTACAAACCAATTCATACCAGACATTACAACAATAAAAAAAATAAATCAAAGACATTATTCATCCTAGAATGCGTATTTAGCCAGGTAGGTATCCGCTTAGCCATCATGTAGCCATGAGACTTTTTTCAAAACACTTTGTGTACTTTAAACTGGTAAGAGGACTAAAATGCAAAACTAATAATTCGCTAAAAAATTGTTAGATAATTTAAGTTTTCGCTCAATGAGTTTATAAATTTGGCGATAAAACGAATTAAACTTTGGCGCTTAACCGAACAATTCTTATCCCTGAAATGCCCTCCGCCGCCTCAGATGGGTACCCACGTTTTAACCCGATTAGTTGATTTCAAATTTTTATAATACTTTTATTTAAATAAGTTCCTTCAAAATGGTACTCAAAAATTACATAACAAAGTTATCGCAAATCTCAAATAATAAAGGAACTCAAATGTAAGCATAATACAATATATTAATACTGAAATGTAATTGAATCAAGCAACTAAATTACCTTACCTACTACAATAGATATATGTATATTTTGTCAATATACTTTTTATCTAAGGAGAGTATGTTTACTCATAAAACTGTTTTATCCCATAAGGTTTCAAAGTTCCCCTATCAATCCTCGGGCAATAAAAAATGCTCATGTGGAATATATAAATACACACCAACATCCGTTCGGAATGGGAATGTGTGATCAAATGCGACGTGTCTGGAGAACTGCGTTCTCCGCACGTCAAAGTACCATTGCGACAACTGTTTAGGGGTCTTTATAGGTGCCACTATCCAACATCCCCTCATTTTTCAGTAGTTGTCAAAATGTCCCGCCCTTAATGCACAGTCAAACGGATCTTTAACGCCCATTTATTAGTTTTATTGTCAATTTGTTCGATTCCTTCATGTGTCGCAACCTGGCGTTAATTTTATATCTGTTCCGCGTTGTTGTTTTTGTCTGTTTGCTTTTCAGATAAAGGAGTAATATTTTGTTGATGTACACATGTACATTTTAAGTCATTACTAGTCCAGACTTTTGAAAGTTGAAATGTAATATGAACTTTAAATTTTTCTATTTATTAGTCCTTTCATGTATACATATAAATAACACTTTATACATGAGTTGAGTCCGAAGTGAGTTTTTCCTAATTCATCTCCATTTGGAACCCTAAAAGCCAAAAGTGTGAAAGCCAAGGATGTAAAAGAACTTGAAAACGTGTAGTGTTATATGACAAAAAATGACTGAAAAGAATAGCCAAATACATCTGGCGTTTTCTGAAATTTAAGAACGTAATGTGCCTATAAAAATCATACCTTCCTTTACTTTCATATTGGCTACTGTATAGGTTTCATACAGTTCTGTGAATTTTAAGTTGCCTCCCTTTAGTGAGTTAACGTCGTTTTTAGATACTTGAAATATTTCTTTTTCAAAATCGTTGTCGCACCTGAAACACTCTGGTCTACTCAGAATCCTACACCAGGTGCTATGCATATTATTATGATTCTAAATCTAGCGTTTCACAAAGAAATATATCATTGAATAAAAAAATCATAACATTAAAAAAATCAGTGTCTGTGTTTATTTAATGTAGTCTAATCGAAATCTTTCATTTTCGTCAAATCATTCTTGTATTCAATATCCAGTAATAAACAAAATTAAATGTTGAAAGACATAGACTTAGGGCGATTAAAGCCTAACATAGTGTTTAGACAATCTTACGAATCATATTTTGACCTCAGAATCTTTTAGCTTTTAGTTTCGGTTTGGATGCTGTATCTCCGAGTATATCTTGAATTGAGAATGGAAATGGGGAATATGTCAAAGGGACAACAACCCGACCAAAAAGCAGAAAACAGCCGAAGGCCACCAATGGGTCTTCAACGCAGCGAGAAATTCCCCACCTGGAGGTGGTCCTCAGCTGGCCCCTAAATAAAATTGTGTACTAGTTTAGTGAAAATGGACGTCATACTAAACTCCAAAACATATAAATGAACTAAAATTAGAAAACATACAAGACTAACAAAGGCCAGAGGCTCCTGACTTGGGACAGGCGTAAAAATGTGGCGGGGTTAAACATGTTTTGTGAGATCTCAACCCTCCCCCTATTCCTCTAGCCAATGTAGAATAAAGAAACACATAGCAATATGCACAGTAAAACTCAGTTTGAAAGAAGTCCGAGTCCGATGTCAGAATAGGTAACAAAAGAAATTAAGCAAAATGACAATGATATGATACATAAATTAACAAAGGACTACTAGCAGTTACTGAATCTGTATACCCATATCCCTTGATTTGAAAAACAGAGGCGACAGATACCAAAGGAAACTAAAGACTGAGCAACAGGAACCCTACCATAAACCAGTGGTCATCTCAGGTGCTCCGATTGGGTAATCAGATCGTGCTCCACATGTGGCAATTGTCGTAATTACAAACCTGATGATAAGTCTATTTCGGTAGGTCACATTCAAGGGAAAAGAGGGTGGGATTGTGGTTACAACGATTGGAACGTATCAGTCGTCATTTGTGAAACAGATATTTCATAACGGTCAGCCAACTCGATATTGCGTTCGTAAAATGTTCGATGAGATCACTTTAACTTCACCAATTGGAACAAGAGAATAGCATATTAGGTAAAAATTTCTTGTCTCAAGCGATACATTTTTGTACATTAAAAAGTGTAATGCAGAAGTAACTCGTCATTGAGCAGAGAAATATTTGCAGGAGATATTAAATCCACCATTTTCTACACAAGGAAATGCCTGTACAAAGTCAGGAATATGATAGTTGTTTTCCATTCGTTTGATGAGTTTGAGCTTTTGATTTTGCCATTTTTTAAGGGACTTTCCGATTGGCATTTTCCTTGGAGTTCGATATTTTTGTTATTTTACTTTTTAAAAGTTAAACACAAATTGAGCGATTTTTTTTAATTCAATTATTACAAAAAATCAACAACGGTACTATTTTTCAGTTTCCTCCATATGTTATTGTTTAGTCGTTTGGCGAGCGTTGGTATTAATTCAATTCTATAATTTTTATATTGTTTATCGTCTTTTTTGTACTATCAGTTGTAGTTACACACTCATGTAAAATATTATGTTCAAAACAACTTCTAACATAATAAATATTGTTCTTTTGTTTTACCCACTAGGTTTTCTTGTAACATGTGGAATTCTAAAAAGTCTTCTTACACAAAAAACCTGGAAACCGGAAGTGCAAACGATAACGGAAATTTGAAAAATTGACCACCAACTAATATAGTCGTTATTTCCGCGGATGAAATAGTTGTCTTTAATCACATTCATTCTTATATGGGTTTGGTGTTGTTTGACTGCTTCGATCGAATTCTGAACGGATGTGACTGTCCTCTGAAAAAAGGAGTAAAATGAAAGAACAATGTAGTGCGGATGTTGGGACAGTCATTTTTCGATCAACCTGTATGCCTTTAAACTGTTGAAGATGAAAAATAATTTGAAGTTTGTCTTGTAATTTTTGTTAAAAAAGAAGGCTCTTTAACTTTTTTCTACGTCCATACATGACAGCTTTAATTTCACTGTTAAAGTTAGCTGTTATCCGGGCCTTGCGGTCATTATAATATTGACTACGATTATCGTAATTAGAATCAATAATCAACCAATCAAAATACTGGATTTGATATTTTGAAGACGTTGCGCACGATGTTGGTACCAATTCCATTTTGCTATAGATTAGCATAAAAATAAATACGTAGACTGGTCAGATCGATAAAAATATAGTGATTTCTGATTGAATTCATTCCATTAGACTTGAAATTAAAGAAAAAAAGGAACCGAAATTTAAAATACCAGGAATTATAACACTTAATTATCACATTTTTACGCAAAAACATAATGTCCAACGTTTCATTTTGTGTGCAAAAGATCAGAGTTCCGTTTCTCTTCTTCGGTATTTTTTCTCTGATCATCGTAAAACTTCACAATAATATTGCTTTTGTTATAATTATTCGCGTGTTAAAGCAAAATCAATATCACTGAAACCGTAATCCGGAAAATGTTATTTTTGTAAACGGTCTGAAAAATGTCCAACCGTATGCAAAGTAAGTATATTTCGGGTTTGCGCATTTATACCGTGAAATTGAAAAAGCTGAGAGAAAAAATATTTATTATATTTTGATAGTTTTTTTACTTTTCTCCTGGTTCATGATATTTTTTTGCCGGAAACCATGCGTTTCTATTGCAATGACTTCAAAAAGTATAGCCATCTTGTCCCAACGAAAAAAACGCTGTATTTTCTTTAAAATTGAGGTTTTAACCAGCTGTCTATCAAATAAGCATAGTTAGATCATAAAAAATAAAACTTGGCGGTAAAGGTTTTTCTGTTTTTCTTCTTAAACAATATAGTGTTTAATATGTTTTCGTTAGGCAACAAGGTTTTTAGATCGTTTCAAAAAGTATAGCCGTTTTGTCCCAACGTTCGCAAAACGTAATTGATGTCATGCTCTGGTTTTTAATTTTATACCGTAAGTATATGTTTCCAGTTTAATTCGAATGAAAATAAAAATACATGTATAAATTACAATACAACCAATGTATGAGAAAGGAATAGTTTAAGTTTAAATTCAAATGTTGACCAAATGAGATCGATATAAAAAAAATATCGGGATCTTAGGGGTTTTTTTTTATAGCATATTTGTTTTATATAAGGAACATTGTCTGTCTGCAAGTTTTAAATCGTCAAAAGTAACATGTATATTTTTTTGTTAATAAAATAAAATAGAGAAAACCCATTGCTGGCAATTATAACAAACAAAGATATGCCACAAAAATACGGAAATGAGAAAATTTAAAACATGAGTCCCGAATGTTTAACTTCCTTAATATTTTGCGACAAAGAAAGCATCGGGAAATGATAAAATATAGAAAGGAAACGGAAACGGGAAGAAATGCAACAAAAGGAATAAATATGCAAACAATAGGAGAATATGAATTCAAAATCTAATTTATATTAAAAATAAATCTGTGTAAATTTGGACGTTATTGTATCGGATTCATTAATGCGAACTGCTGCCGAAAGGAAAATTATCAATTATGGCCTGGAAAGACTGACAACTCCTGTAAATGAATTTCATTAAAAAATAATCTATACGACCACTTTGAGTTTTATTTGTAAATTTATGCATTTTTTCAGACAAACCGAAATCGGTTACCAAATTCACAACAGTAAATTGACATCATCAATAATATGCTTGAACGCCTGAAACTTTCTTTGAAATCGTCGAAATCGCCTTATTTTGAGGAACGTCGTGAAACGCTAAGTAGTACCAATATCGTGCGCAACGTCACTGCGAGTCCTGGGCGATTTTAATTAGCTGGAGTGTGCAGTTTATTTATTGAATACGTGAAATGTGGTCGAAATATGCAAAGGTGGTACTTTAACCCTACACTATTTTGTGCATAATCCAACTTTTTATGAATAAAGATAATAGTCGGCGCTTTTGGGTTTGGGACTTAGATTTGTTTGGGCCAAACGTAAGATGTAGTAACAAGCAACACTTCTTAGCAACCATAGTGATTAAGACAAGCAAACTTTTAAGATATTCAAAATAAATTGCATAAAAAAAACTAATTGAAATGCGAAACTAAGCATAGATAATCCATGAAAAATAATTTGAAGTTTGTCTTGTAATTTTTATTAAAAAAGAAGGCTCTATAATTTGTGTCTACGTCCATACATGACAGCTTTAATTGCACTGTTAAAGTTAGCTGTTATCCGGGCCTTGCGGTCATTATAATATTGACTACGATTATCGTAATTAGAATCAATAATCAACCAATCAAAATACTGGATTTGATATTTGGAGCACACATTTTGGACTGCGAGTCCTGGGCGAAGTTTAATAAGCTGGAGTGTGCAGTTTATTTATTGAATACGTGAGATGTGGTCGAAATATGCAAAGGTGGTACTTTAACCCTACACTATTTTGTGCATGATCCAACTTTTTATGAATAAAGATAATAGTCGGCGCTTTTGGGTTTGGGACTTAGATTTGTTTGGGCCAAACGTAAGATGTAGTTACAAGCAACACTACTTAGCAACCATAGTGATTAAGACAAGCAAAATTTTAAGATATTCAAAATAAATTGCATAAAAAAAAATAATTGAAATGCGAAACTAAGCATAGATAGTCCATGTGAAAGATGTCTGGTATATTTATTTCCAGTTGATTTCACTATTCAAATTAATGAATGAATAATAAATTCATCGTTATTTCTACATCATGCAGAAAATGGCCATCAAATGACTTTAGGACTTAGTGTACAGGGATGCGTATAAATCTGCTCTTAATAAAGAAAAACCTTACCCAAGGAATAGAAATATGTACAGTACAGGTATTATTTACGGTGTTGGTTTTATTGTGTAAAGAAAGTAAAACAAGTAATAAGAAAGATTTCTTACAGTAAAATAAGTAACGGTTGAACTGACACTGTTAATTTCCTTTTGATATTGGTACCAGTCGCTCATTACATACGTCATCATGTAAAAATAAATCAACTTCGAACCATACATATTTCTGCTAACAAAGTTATCTATACATATCGTATATATTCCTGTAATATATAAAATAGAATTCTGTAAGATCCTTTTTAGGGAATTATCCTTTTGCGAATACTATTTCCGGTTTGTTTTGCACCTTCCATCAACAACAATAGATTATTAACTTGATGCTTACACAAGCTTGCTAAGTTTTATGTCTGTTAGAAATGTTGCTCAAAGAAAAATGTATAAATCAATTCTTTGCCACCCTAACCCAACTTTGAAATTGCAAAATAAAGGTAAATACTAAAATTTCATCAATTGATTCAAAGTTATTGAAATTTTAGTTGACTTTTGATCGGGTTTTGCTGTTCTGTTTAAACTCTTTACGTTTTGGTGCTTTCAAACGTTTTATATTTTGACTTTCCTCACTACTGTATTGTTAAATCAGAAATACGGGTAGTGAGTACTGAAATCGGTATCATACGTTGATAGGCAGACTCCGAAACAGTCTGCTGGTGACGCTGACTATAAATTAACCGAAGCAACGTCGCCACTTCTTCGGAGTAAGGTCAATAGGATGACAGTAAAGAGAAGTGATCTGTTTGATATCTTTGTAACGTAATAAACATGTAAAAATCGCAAATGTGGCCATTTAAAGTAATCTGTAGTTCAGTAAGAGCTTACCTTTCTCAAAATTATTTGGGTGACCATTTAGTTCTTTTAAACAGTTTCATACTAAATGTGTTTTTGTAAGGTTTGTCAATCATACCTAAGTATATTATAAAGGTAATTATCTCAAAATGAGACTGGTTTTGCCTCTCTCCTTTAAATTCCAGAAGTTTGAGGCATATATACAAAATAAAATTCAACAATATTATTGGTCAGAAGTAGCCTCATCATATACCTTCTCCCTAAGTTCTACAGATTACACATGGAATTTGAATTCTACGATCTATCGTTGTCAGTCGTAGGTTTTTTTTCATTTTTTATTATTATTATTTTTAATGAATGTAACATGATGCTGATTTTTGTATCTAAAAATACTAATTTCCTCGCTCATATTAAGCAGCACAAACGGATAAAATTGTATGCTTCTGGCTAAGTTAGACAAATATAGTTTAAAAAGCACCTGCTACTTACTTCGATTGCGTAGAAGCCGTAATAAATAAAACATTAAACATAATCATAAACTGGTGTAAAATATCTCTTTCTTTTCGAAAAAGATACTATATATGAATTTACCCTCTGTACGCTCAGAAATATCAAACTCTCAAAATTCTCGTGTTAAACAAATAATACTCAAATCGCTTCAGATTAAGTTACAATCAATAGCTTGATTTTCAAATAAACCGGGGTTCATTGTATCTTTTTAACGAGCTAACGCTTATCCATCGCATCTCAAACACTTAATACCTTCAAATGTAATTTTGTTCTCAAAATAGCCACTTGTTACCGAATGTTTCGCATCTACTTGGTTATTGTTAGGATCCCATATCACTACATCAACCAATTTATCAGAACCACGTAAAACCTGGAATAAAACAGTAAACGAGAACATTTGTAAAAGAGAATAACTTAAAGTAGTAAACATGTTTGCCCTTGAGTGTTTCAGTGAAGGTTATCTCGAACAAACTCCCTGTAAGACTGGTTCCCTGTCCTTTATCTGTCTAGCTCTGACAATTGTAAGCTTGACAGCTTGACAAAGGTGACACAGATACCCGTATGTTGCAAGGGAGGAACTAGCCGAACACTTTGTGCGATTTTATAATACGTTTTTACAACCTTTGCCGTTGGATAGTATATCCCGAGGATACCGTTCGCCCATTAGTTCAGTAAAAAAAATATATTGTAATAAGATTCTTTTTTCCTGATCATAGCATGTCAAATGTACTTACCAAACTACTATGCAGGAGAATTTAAACAGAACATGTCCTAACACTAATTCTCAGGAAATAGGGACCGTTTGTCTTAATTATACTTGGAAAATAGATTTGTGTAAAAAAAAACTTTGATTATGCACAAATGATTCATAAATATATGATTCCAAAGAGGCGGCTCTTAACTCTTTCTGTAAAAAATAATATTGATAGTCAAGATTATGCCGTAAGGGTCCCTTTTCCACATAACAGATACGTTACCGTCTTGTCTTATTATTTTAGAAAATGAAATTTCATACAAAGTGGCTTTGATTCAATTTTTTAAAAAGTTATTTGCTTTCGTCAATATTTATGTGATGTTACACACTAACCTAAGTGATTTAATTTCAGTTTTTATATTTTCTTCTGCCACTGAAGACAGGGCTGGACTAGATGCCACCACCTCTGGTATTGGGTCTTAAACGTCCAATGGTTGCATTTTCATAGTAGCTAGTGCATGGATATCAACAAGATTTATAACAATTAAGATAAAAGACGAATTTAAACTATAACACAACGGCCTTATCTATGACAAATCAATAGACAAAAAATATATGACAGACAGCAACCAACGACAACCTCCAAAATACAGGCTCTGGACTTCAGACAGGTACATAAAGAATGAGAAGGGGTTAATATATTTGTGCTGCCACCCCTTAGCCTAGGACAGTTGTATAACAGCACAACATTAAAACAAACTGTACAACATCAGTTGGAAATGGCTTGAGTCATAAACTTGTCACTGAGCACAGAAAATCCAACTTACATGAAGACAAAAGACACAAAGTGACGATCTAAGAGTACTCGCAGTTACTGAAAACTAGTTCAAAGCCAATAAGGATTAATAAATACATCATGGTCTCCCAGACTAAAGTATCAATCAGTACACATCCAACGGATTTAGTGTTAAGACAACATAATTGGCATGAGAAAAGAATGACCTTGTGCTAGCTATATATATGCCTATACTAAGTTAAATGCACAAACCTAAAAAAAAAAAACAAGTAAAGGGACCGGCACATTTTTCGAACTCTCTATGTGGTTTAATTTAATCGTGCTTATTTCATATGCGGATGGTTATTGGTAGATCCCATACTGGATCATGCCACAAAATTACATGTATAGTAGCAAAGGTAATTTCTGTTTTTTAACCGATCAAGCAGCAAATACAAGCTGGTCGCCTCTGAGTCAACATATTATGTTCGGATTGGGTGAATGTCTCAATGCAGACTGTTATCTTAATTAGTAGATTTCACGCAAAACATCTTCAATTTGAAAAGTTTAAAAGGCAAAATCCAATAAAATCATGACACCATACAAAGAAAGTTTACCTATCCATTAAGACAGGTAATCCTTGAGTTGGATGAAATGGTTGCCGCTGGACGTTAATAAAACAAATGTCAATCAAATACAATCTGAGAAATCTATCTGAGGACTATTACATGTACACGAAAAAGAGGATTAAGAAGTTTACTCTTACTTATAAGTTTGGCAATAAAGCTCCCTTTCGGCCATATTGCATTTAACGTTTCTACGGGTATATACACGCCTGGCTTTCAAATATTTAGCTTGAACGTTCCTAGTGAAAGTCAATGCAGAGAAGCGCTTCAGACGCACGAAATTTAATAAGTGATATGTTTTCATTAAGCTTATCACGGTACGTAGGAAAATATGTTTAAGTAGTAATTTTCAGCCTACAACTTAACAAGAGAAGATTTTTTTCCCGAAATTATGGGCTAAAATAAGAATATAAGAATTCTACGGAGAGTTTACAAGGAGAGATGAATCGACCCTCCACTAGAAGAATTCAAAACGTACAGATAAAAACAAGACTTAGAGAAAATATAGGGACCAGTACATGCCTTCACACAGTAGAAACAAATACGCATGTTTCGATGCGGTTGTCATGACTTCGGCAATATTGACATAAACATAAGAAAAGTTATCTGTTGTGTGTTACCTCAAAAGATAAATGAAGAGTTGCTCCGTTAGCTATTTTTTGGTAAAAACACTGTTCTCGTCCAGAATAAACTTCTATTTTGAATTCGTATGTAACTCCAGGTAATCCATCAAAATCGAAATCTTCGTTTTGTTTGTCTAAAACTTGTTCAGCAGTTAAACACTTAAATATCATTAAAATCAAGTGTTTTGAAATGATAGACGATAAAGACGCCATATTGTATACAAGTTGGTATATTGAGATCGTTTGCTGATAATATATGGAACATTTGTTCAAATTCACACCTGTCCATTTAAATACCATACAGTATATGTAGTGATAGCATTTCCGAAATTTATGAAAGAAAGGAAGAATATCTTATACTCCCCCTCCCAAAAAAAAACCAGCACAATAAAAAAACAACACTAGAAAAAACCAATAAAAAAACAAAAAAAAAAAAACGGCGGGTTTTGTCTTTGAGGTTGCTTTTGTTTGGCGGGTTTATGTTTGCTCCATTTTTTATTTCGTTTTTTGCTTGTAAAGGGAGGGGTGCGAGCGTACACATCTCTCACTTTTATAGTCTTACACCGTCGCTTTCTTTATTACTGTTCTAAATATAATAATAATATGCTAATTTGAGGAGAGGCATGTTGTGTAGTATTTAATAAAAAAAAAAATGAAAAAAAAAAAAAAAAATAGAAAATCAAACTATTTTTCTTAGTCAATGTCACATATTTGTATTGTTCATCATAAAAAAAGATGTGGTATGATTGCCAAAAAGAAACCTTTACACTAAAGTTCAAATGAAGTGGATGTAAGCATTTATAGGCAACAGCACGGCCTTCAACAATGAGCGAGATTCATTCCGTATATTCGGCTATAAAAGGCTTTGTGACTGTATTTGTGTTACATGTGTATTTAGTACCAATCCTAGCAGTATGGTTTGTATTTAACACTAATACATATATTATGCACAATGCGATTTAAAAAGTTCTTAAAACTTTTGCATAGGTGGGATATGGTGGGGTCACCCCAATATTCCTTATTTTTCATTGTTATAAATAGTGTTTGAAAGGTTCTTTATAAATGGTTCTCATTTTGTTTCAGTCAAGGCAAAAAAAAAAAAAAAAAAAAAAAAAAAAATTGCTGCAACAGGTAAACAGGGTATTTTTAGTATGTTCAAACTTTATGAGAAATGCTTTTGGAAGATCCCTACTAATTATGATATTTCTCATTTCACTCTGATAAAACAGTCTAATACATATAACAATTTGCACATCAAATGAAGTTATCTATAATTACATAGCTTCTCTAATGTATACAATATCCAGAATATTACACAATAAACATTAAGAGTCAAAACTATTATATAGGCAACATTAAAAAAAAACTAAATTAAAATGCAAAGCATGAGGGAACGCACCGATATAACACTGTAAAACTCATTCATAAAATTCTTTCTATTATAGCATTGGCACTGTGTATTTTTACAATAATAACTAGTTGCTGGGGTCAAGAAGGTTTAACCCACTCCCCACCCCCCACCCCTAAAAAAACACAAAAAAAACAAAAACACTTTATCATGCTTATACTTGTTTAAATAAAGTATCACTTCTATCCTTTTCTGCTCATCTATTATCCTATTTACAATTAACATAGATATTTAAACAGAACTTGATCAATGTCAAGTTAAAGGTAGCATCAGTATTCAATTGTTTTGAGTTAAAATTCCTAAGCAAGTCTCGATAAGCTGTTTTCTTTAAATGTCATACGTATGATTTCTACTACTATACACTACATTACAATATCATATTATTGAAAAAAATTATCATAATCAAATTATGGCATGTGATGGCAGTGCAGGGATCTACACATATCTACATTGGTGCAACGTTGTTGTTTTGTTGCTGCCTAGTTGACGTTTAAAAAAGATAAGATTGCTGTTTTTATTATATTTTTTATTCGGTTTATTCCCGACGTGATATGTTTATAAATTGGTGTATGTTTATGTTTCAGGGGATTCTTAGGATGTAAGGTGCCATTAAGGTAGATGGGGTGTCTAAATTATAATCCATAGAATTTTTTAATAATTTGCCAAAATGTAGTTTATATCATGCTTTTAAAAAAAAATAATAAAAAGAATGGGTCACGGGGCTTATTTTCACGCTACAGGTTGTGCAAAATTGACAGATTTTGTATAGATTATGCATGGAAAACCCAATTTTCTGCCATAAAACGAAAACTACCCCATAGAACTTTGAGATAAAATATGAGAAGATAGCTATTATATTATGCTTTCAGATAAGAAAAAGAAAAAATGGGGTCACGGGACCCGTTTTCTTGCTACATAATAAAATAGGTAAATTCCTAACGCATTCTATTGTAAAAGTAACTTTATCTGAATTATCTGCCCTTACATTTGAGTTGCCTCCCCTTATGTGGCAAAGTTGGAAAAAATTGAATCAAACAAAAGTATTCTTTTTTTGTAAAATACAACTATAAATATGATAAAACATGTCATTTTCTATATTGAAATGAAAATTCTTACACATGAATTACCTACTACTCTCAAAATTTGCACATTTTCTTAAAGATCTAGACCGATTGTTTTCTGGTATTTCAAAATCCAAGATGGAGGAAGACACCCTATCTACCTTAACAGATGTTTTCAAATGCTGCAGAATTGAAAAAAAAAATTATATAAAAGAAGGAAAATACCATTCGAAAACACCTGTTCATGTAATCTTAATTTCCTTAGAATCCCCTGAAACATAAACATACACCATTTTATAAACTAGAAAACCATCCTTTCGGTTAATATTTGAAAATCAAAATAGTTTATTTATCACACGATATAACATATGGCAAACTGAAAAATCAGGTAGGCTGCTAATGAAACAAGGTTTATCTTTGCTCACCTGAATCAAGAACCATTTGAGCAAAGGACAGCATTCATCAAGTTTTCGAATAAAAGTATTCATATTTCGACTTTATAGTGATTTATTCTTCTAACGTTGAACAGTAGTTTCAATTCAAATTTGACGTTTGTCAAACATATATCACTTTCGTAAAACAAGTTTTGTACGACATTTAAGTATGGTCTACCAATGTGTCTTCCTTTTCATTGCCATGGTTCCATTAAAACAAACATCTTTAACTACCCTCTAATCATTTTATATATCTTATCACTTTTCATGACTAGAAAAATACAAAGATACCACGCGAGCATTCACGTTAATTGATCAACGAAGGAAACAACATGGCCAAACAGACATACACTATACATCAAAACACTACACAGAAAAGGTAAAATATGAGTAACACAAATCCTACTAAAACTGAGCTAATGATTCAGGTGGGGCTTAACTTTGGTTCTCCGCAGAGATCAACAGTTCAAGCAACGCTGGGAAACACCTAACGTGTTAATCATATTATCATCCGTTGGGGAAAACAGTTTAAATATTACATTGGTAGTCTAACCCTAAGTCTTTACAATCGAAAATGCCGAGTGTTCTTGCTAAGCGTACACCCACTCGTTATCCAAAGTATTGAACGACAGGAATCCGTTCGGGGGCAGATCATGAAAAGCACTCACACTTTACACACTACCGCTGCCAAGCTGCTGACTTTGAAGTCATTTTGTTAAGAAGTACAGGAGAAATGGGTGATCGAAATTTTAAAGTTAATTCAAAATATTGAAAATTCAAGTATCGGTAAACAGGTCTGGAAGTATATTTTTTTTATGTCTCTGGAAGAATTTTGTTAAGTTGTCTGGCAGTATATTTTTAAGCTGTCTGGACGTATATTTTTTAAGGTGTCTGGCTGATATGAATTATAGTTCGTACACATTACAATACATTACTGCCAGGCTGCCAACCAAAAATAATATAAAGTAATTCTGTTAATTTTGTAGTACCTGAGAAAATGAGACAGAAATATTTGTTGAACGAACAGACGAACGAACGGACAAGGTGAATGCAATATAGCCTCACTGCTAAAGTATAGGGGTATAATTTCAAAAGCCATCGGAGAAGTGATTTCTTTTTAAAATGACCTTAACACACGATCGAATGAACAAATTTGCCGAAGTTCTGCTTATATTTTTTTATATCGTGAATAATTTACATACAGGTTAAACAACAGAATCCATGCAATCCACAACTATTAAATTTTTACGTGTTCAATAAAGAAAATACAAGCAATCAATATAAAGTCGTATTACATTAGATTTGGAAAAACAATACTTCCAACCCCCCCCCCTTTTCCAACCAAAATGAGATAAAATAAATGAATAAAACTAAAACAAGACAACCCTACTCCAAACAAATTTGTCAACAAAAAGTTATTTATAAAATTTATGATTGGCCAACATAAAAACTGCGAATGAATCAGGGGCTCCCAAAAGATGAGCAGGTTGATCAGGTTGAGCAGATTGTGCACCACTAGTGGCACCCACCATGTTGCTCATCTTTAGTAGATACAATGTATGTCATAAACGAGGAAACTACGAAAAAATGTAAAACATAAAAGGGGAGAAATATCATATTATTGAATATTGAAAAATATAAATTAAACAATGTAATACTCGTGAAATTAATAATTTATCACATTTTAAACAATTTTGCAAAGTAAGAACGGAAGGAGAGATTATTAACTGTGAAACCAGGTGAATCATTGATTGCAAGAAGAACATGTACTGAATTTCTTTAACAGTTTACAGAAATCAAAGAAAAACATCTGTAATATCGTCCTTACATATAATTATATAAATAAATGTTTGTAAAACAGTCAGGAGAGTTCTATACATTTAGGTTCATATTTGAATGAAAGTTAGACACACAAGCAGACGTCAAAATGAATGCCTATTGTATCCTTTGTTTTTGTGCGCTGTTACTTGTACCTGAGACTTTAGGTGATCCAAAAGTTTCTCAGGCAGAATCTTTGCTTACTTGTTCAAAATATGATTTTGAAGAAAAAGTTTTGGAAAAACTAGTTCGACTGGAGCATAAGATAGAAATGTTTGATGAGAAGATTAAAATATGGGAAGATTCGATTTCAACAAAGTTATCAAAGTTTGAAGAAAAAATGGACTCAAACGACGAAACAACTGAAAAATTAAGACTACAGACCAACAACAAAGTTGACAGTTTTAAGGAACAGATGAGAAATATGTCCCAATCGTTGACGTCTAAATCGCAGAAACTTTATGAAGCTGAACATACAAGAGACAGTGAATT